CTGAAGATCTGAAAAGAGGAGGCAATCGCTAATAGACGAACCAAAGAGCAGATAACCCTTTTTTTTTAAAAGCGAAGGCTATGCATAATCCTGACCGAACAGTCTTGATAATAATACTCGGGTAAATTTTTGCAAATAATGTGCATAAAAAATGCTCATAGACTTACTAGCTTCCGCATTTGCAGCCGGCAAGACCACTCCTTTCGACCGATAGGCTTGAACTAAAACATTCAAATCGATCACAAGAAAATCTCATATATTATCTTTTACTTACCTTTTAATTCAACGTTAACAGAGTAAGCCTTTTCACAGAAAAATTCGTGAATGCTATTACGCTTATAAATAGCTGCTAATATATCTTTCGAAAAAAGCAAAACTCACTTTGTCCAAACCAACCGGCACCAGCTTCAAAAATTTTTCCAGTTTCTTGACAAGATTCATGTCCGAGATATACAACAAGTGGTACTACGTATTCTGCTTTCAGAACTTGCAAACTTTCTTTAAGAAAGAACTGTGCTGTCAGTCTTGATGATGCGGTCGGTATCACCACGTTAGAATGAATGCCATATCTATTTCCCTCAATTGCCAATGTATGAGAAAGACCAATTAACGCGTTCTTTGCTAAAATTCATTAAATCGTAAAATGCAATCTAATTTTAGTCGTCATATTTTATCTAACCTACTGCTAATTGTTAAACGCCATTGGTGTTCATAACATTATAAATTAAAACCAGGAGTAAAAGTACCTGCTGCGTAATTTGCCTGTCCAAAATTGCCGTATATTGCAGAATTTGAAGATATGAAAATAATTCGTCCATACCGTTGTTTTTTAAAGAAAGACCAGGCCGCTTTAGTAACCCAATAAGCGCCTTTAACATGTGTCTTGTAGACTAAATCTGAAAAATAAAAGACGAATGATAAAAACCGGGAGCTGGAATTACTGAATTCAATGAAAGTATGAGATATTTCGTTAGGTTCGCTACAAGACAATATATCAATATATACCATAATTTGATCTAATTCATAATTATCACAAATTTCAAAGCCTCCATTACTTACGACTCTATCCATTATGGTATGTATCAGCTGAGATAAGTGAAAAAAATCTAATGAAAAACAACAAAACAAACAATTTCGTTTCTCATCATATGATGTCACAATTAAATAGTGTAAATGTCAAAAAGAGCACAAAACAAACCCCAGTCATCATTGCTCATGTTTTGGAAGGACTTGTCAAGTAAAATTCCAGCATTATTAACGATAACATCTAAAAATCTGAAGTTCATGAAAATGAAGCTGACATCTTTAATCCTAAAATGACTTTTGTCCCATAATGATCTGCGTATATTTGTCAATTAAAATTTAATTTTTTCCATGCAAAGTAGCAAATTGAGCAATCTTAGCTCCAGTATCCTGAATTTACTGACAAATTTCAACCACTTCAGCATCACTTAAGAACAAATCGGTTGTCAAAGATAATAAAGGACAATTACCTACCTACTCGACCAAAATGTGTGATTGCTGTTTCGACGATTTTGTGCCCATATTCAACACTATCAAAATTTGGAACTGCTTTGCCCCCATGAAATTTAATTTCCGCTACAGTCTGCGAAAAATGCACAAAAATTACATATTAATTCAAATCGGGTATTTAAAAAAGTAGCAAAACGATTTTAAAAAAGCGGAAATAAACAGAAAACTTATAACGGACGCCAATTTAAAGATAATCAAAAATTAAATTGAGACACTTAGTTTTTTTAACCATTAATAAAGCATCATATGTCCATCCAAAAAAAGTAATGCTAACCGCATTCGCAGAGAGAGATCCCGCATGCGATCCATCCTGAGTGGTCCCCAAATCATTCACTGGAATGGAAGAAAATCACTTTTTTGAAATCTCCTGAATATATACAAAGAAAGGAGTAAAATATCGAGAAATCCTTTATCATGATTCGTAATTTTTTATAAATGTTTCCGATGATATAACGATTTTATCCTGGATCGAAATCATGATTTGAACAGGTTAAAATACAATTGCTTCAAATTAGATTTAATACTCTATCATACTGAGGTTAGTAAAAAATATTCCAAATTTAAGGATTTAAGCAATTTAATTCACTTAAAATTGAATAAATAAATGAATTCAAAATAGCAAAATTACCAACAACAAATGCTCCTCTTTTGGCGAATTCAAGCGCATAA